TTCAAAACAACCAATAGCCCCTCATTTTCTTAAGCACCAAACATCGAGGATAAGAGAACAACACTCATGAATCATGACGAAATCTCTTTTGAAAGATGTTATAAAATGTATGAGTGCAAGAAAATGTATGGAAATCATATAACTGCATTATTGCATGTTTACGAAAGCCATACAAAGATGGCCGTTGCAAAAGAGGTTAGGATGCAATTTGGTTTTTCACATACATATTCCAGTGCGGGTTTTAGATGATGGGTGCGGAGGAAATTAAGATGATTCTATATTCAAACGAATAGGTACACTGGAAAACTCCTTATTGTAATAATAGTTGCAGTAATAGTTATTGTAAATCAGTTGTCTTGTTGTCTTTGGTGTTGTCTTTATGGTGCTTCGTAGATCGGGAATACCGTAGCACACGTTAATTATGATGGCAAATGGATAATTTTTTATGGCATAAGCTGGTAAACGAGCAGACGAATCACCTGATGGTAAGCCATCGGTGTCGCTCATGGACATCCGAAAACCAGTGGCTTTACAAGTGCGTTGTCGGCCTTTTGGAGATTGTTGTTTGAAGGTTATTTGAAGATTGTTGGGGATTGGGGTTTGGGTAGACTGGTTAGAAGGGTAATTGGGCCTCCAGTAACCTCCCTCACTCATCGAAAAGAAATAGAAGCGTTGGTTGTTAAAAAAATAACATTTTGTAAAAATATCTTTCATTCTATAAAAGACTAGTATTTATACATAACATAACATCACGCCTTTTATCCCCGAAGGGGTAGGCAGAGGTGTACATTATGCCACTGTACAATGTAACACCCACTTTTCACTATTTATGTTATGAGTCCCATGTAATAGGGGGTGAGCCTATTGTCATATACCGGGCACATTCTAAACTCCGTGCTACTACTGAGATTTTTTTTTAAAACCCAGTAATACTTTGCCCAACCTGGGAATCGAACCCGAGACCCCTTGCCCGGCAGTCGCAAATTCGATCATTCGGCCAATGAGGCACTAGTATTTAGGTATGATTGCTTGTTATCTAGTATGCAAAATTTTTATTTGGTAATAAACATGACACCAATATATCAAGTTGTCAGTTTGTACATGCATCTATCTAGGTATCAAAGCTAAGCATTGCTTAAATATAAATACAGGATGATTTGTGTGGTCCTCATGTAAACATTATAGTGTTATTTCACCATACATAGGTACAAAATGGTAGTAACCTAGTTCCATTTTGGTGAGAAGATCTTATGAAACGTTTGTAGAATTTATTATATGTTTAAGTTACATGTAGGTAATGTTGCATTTTGGATTCTGAGCACGTTTGTCAAAGGTTTTCGGTGAAAGTGGGCTAAGGGCTTGTGACCTGTTTCTGTAAGTATATTATATTTTTACCTTATGATGTCGTGGTGGCCCGGAGGTTTAAGACGCCCGCTTCTTATGCATGAGGATTTGGGGTCCGAAACCTATCAACGGCAAGTACTAATGTGACTTTTTCCGAGTTATTTGTACTTTCTAAGATTATTTAGACATCACTTATAAACGGTGAAGGAAAACATCGTGAGAAAACCTAGGCTTATTATTTTTAATTATAAGTTTGGAATCGCCAACCCGTATTGAGCAAGCGTGGTGATTAATACTCAAACCTTCTCCGTGTGAGAAGAGGCTTTGCTTAGCAGTGGGCATTATTGGCTGTTGATGATGATGATTTTTTACCTTAAGTAGATCGTTGACAAATTGTAATAGTCGGACTCTGGTTCCTTTAGTTAGCAAACTTGCACCAGTTATCACCACCACTTAAAAATCTATTTAAAATTAAGTCAAATAGAACTTATTTCAATTAAACCATGCACAATGCACAGGTAATTTTGAACGTAAACAACGAACCTTACTCCTAGATTCGAATGAATATTATAACGCAATAAAAAGGCAAGATATTTAACATTAAAATGAATAGTTTATTTCAAAGAATTTAACATCTGCAATTGTTGTGATCCCATCTGACCTAACACTATTGTTTTAACTTGGAACTACTTGACAGCAGCTGGTCAAAGTACTCCGGTCGATCAAATTTAGATTTTCACCTTTATTGTTTAGGTGCATAGTCGAGAATTCAATGACAAAATTACAAATTGGGGTACGATGACCTGCTGGCGTCTATACTTCACAGACTATACACATTGCACAAGTACCTAACTAGTAATTACCTGTTTTTGCGCTTACCTTTTTGTTGAATCTTTTGCTAGTTAACTTAAAGTTAGTTTTTGCTTAATATGATGATAATTAATTATCGGTTGAATGGCAGTTAGGTTTAGCTGGTAATAAGAACTTGGTAATATTAGTGTCGTTTTGATTTGGACCATCTCGAAATAATTGGGTAAAGTTTTAAAAATAATATTCAGAAAATGATAGGTACAAGTTATAAGAAAAAGTAAAAATAGAACCAAAGTCTCAGCAAACATAGGTATCTTTTAGTATAAAAGTTCGTTAGTCTCGCCAAAACTCGAAAACGGCTGAACCGACTTGGTTAATTTGGATTAAAACAATAGGTACAATTTTGTGGAATCTCATGAAACAATTGAATTTATTTCAGCAAATAGGCTACAACGCAGCACTTTTACATTTCCATTTTTTCAATTTTCGTGTTTGTACAAAATAGGTGGGTGTTGCATTGCATAGGAAATCATTACGAACGTGGATCACTGCCCATCTCCTGGGTAATAAAGACATGATATTACCTTGTCCACGTTTATTATGCCATAAGCCTAAATACTACATAGCTTTGTCAATGGTTTCGCTGCATCCTTGGACACCATTAAGTCACCGACATGACACCACTGTTAGTCTGTTACTGACAATCTCCGAGACTAAGCCTTGAATTTAAGGTTTCGTAACTTTAAGGTAACTTCTTAGTTCAACGGATAGTATTTCGATTATATGGACAATTTTGTGTCTGTATTTTATCTGTACCTTGTACTTTAATTTTGTAATAGTATCTGCTGTGTGAAAACACCAGAGTATATTTTTAGATCTTTTTGAGGGTTTTTTTAAGGGGGGAAAATCATAGAATGGCTTCTCCCGCCTGGATGAGGCGGGAGGGAGTTTCAGGCTCTTACTGACTAAAAACCACCCCGTTCCTATCCCCGTTCCTTTACGTTCTCTATGGTGCCTTAGTAGCATCAAGTGCGCCTCAAATAGCCATCTATTTAAGTCTGGTGGTCTTTTTGAGGGTGTGCGGTTAGCGGTGTAGGTAGTGCGGTTTTTTAAAGGACTTCATCACGGCGAATTTCTCTAATGTAGAAGAAATCCAAAGCCCAATAGTGAATCTACCAGTGATGATGTGAGTGCCGGATCTGCAGTCAGTTGGGCCTCCGGTAACCTCAATAACACGACGAAAACTTATGAGATAAAATGATGCACGTGGTTTTTTGGCTGCATTAAATATAAATACTCGTTTCTGCTATACATATATTTTTTTTAAGGGGGAAAATCATCGAATGACTGCTCCCGCCTGGGTGAGGTGGGAGGGAGTGTCAGACTCTTACTGAATAAAAACCACCCCGTACCTTCTCCTGCACGTCGAGCCGGAGCCCCGGTTACCCGTTAGGTTCTCCGCGACTCCGAATCGGCATTGGCCGTGTTGCGCCCCATCTGTGGTGGTCTGATGGCTCTTTGAGCTCTCTTTGGCTCGGGTGCTATACATATAATTAAGGCTGGGTTGCACCAACTTACTTTAACAAAAATAAACGTCAAAATTGAATTCCCTGGCTTATAAGTTTGAAATTGCCAATCCGCATGCTCAAACCTTCTCTGTCTGAGAAGAGGCGTTGGCTTAGGAGTGGGCACTTATATGCTGTTGATGTGTGACGTCATTTGTAATTCTTATTTAGTTTGTGGTAATAAAATTGTAATTAATATGTTACTGAGGTGAAGATTTTATTCATGTTATTGGTGCTTAAGTATTGGTGTATATTATGTCATGTTTTGTTCAAATGCCATGATTCGAATGCACGTGTCGAACTTATGCGCCCAAGGTATGGTAATATTATTATAATATTACCGTGCCTAAGGTGCAACACCGTTTAATTACTTTATGCTGAATTATAATCTAGTTGTATTACGATAGTATCGAATATGGCATAATTGTACGGTGATTGTTACAAATATTGGAAAAATGATAACATTTTTTTAATTGACTGCCTCGTTAGCCGAATGGTCGCAATGGGGATGATGACAGGGTATGAAAATTAAAAATATAATTAGTCCGTAACTTAGGTAATAAAAAAATATTAGACACGTATTTTTTTATTTTGTTGTATAATAAAACAATACTTAGATAAAACGAATCAAAGTTTAGGAGTGGGGGCTAAAACGTCATTTCTTAGTATAAAATGTACTGAGAAGTGACGTCACGCGACATTTCAAATCAATATATCTTGAAAACTATTCGTTTCCGTAAGAAAATAAAAAATACGTGTCTAATGTTTTTAAATAATCTACCAGACGGACATTAAAATAAAAATTAGTCGTCTACCCCATTACGACTGCCGGGCATGGGGTCTCGGGTTCGATTCCCGGGTCGGGCAAAGTACTACTGGGCTTCTTCAAAAAAATCTCAGTAGTAGCACGGAGTCTGGAATTGTGCCCGGTATATGGCAATAGGCCCTGTTTCATGGGACTGAAAACATAAATAGTGAAAAGTGGGTAGTACATTGTACAGTGGCTTTAAGTGCCGTAATGTAAGTACACCTCTGCCTACCCCTTCGGGGATAAAAAGCGTGATGTTATGTTATGTTTTTTGAATTATTATCCTTAGTATATTATCATAGCCTTTAGGATATTAAACCAAATATATCTGAGTATTTTTATTTCATGTACGCACCGTACTTTTAGTCGCATTTCATTATTCCCGACCTTTACTAGTACTATAGTTTATTTATTAACACAATATTCATCTATTCTCAATACAATACTTACAGTATATTTCTTTTTATTTTCAGGTTCAAAGATAATCCTGCGCAGTATTAACGGTGACTTTCGGTCGGGGCAGCTGACTGCCATCTTGGGACCATCGGGCGCTGGCAAAAGTACTTTACTGAACATACTAGCTGGATATAGGTAATTTACTCACTATATTATGAATATCTCACCACCAACATCATCATCATCTACACGAGATTAATTAAAAATTAGAAAATGTTAAAAGTTGAAAGTAATTATACTACATTTTTGTTTAATATAGTAAAAGCTAGTAATCTTTGAACACGTATCTGTTTAAATATAGATCAATATAATATGGAAACAGAAATAAAAAGTATTTGAGCATATATTACGGGCATAACTGGAGAACGGCTGCATTAAAATTGATAATTCTTTCAACTATATTGTCTAGTGAATTTCCACAATTTAACAGGAGTGACAAAAATACATGTAATTTTAAACATGAACCAACAAAGTCAGTCGCCATAATACGCCATAAATACCAGCTTAGTAGGTACCCAGGTACATTATTTCGAGGTCTGTGTTAATTGCTAAAGCGCCTACATTTGTTTACCCTAGTTGCATCGCGTGACTGAAGATGAATATCACTGTATATATATCAAACAGTACAATATACATACAACATCAACATATATATCAAACAGTATCAAACATGTAGATATAGTTACCTAAATGTATGTTTTTTTGAGGGGGGAATATCATTCAATGGCTTCTCCCGCCAGGGTGAGGTGAGAGGGAGTGTCAGACTCTTACTGACTAAAAACTACCCCGTTCGTACTCCTGCTTGAGTCGAAGCGCCGGTAACCTAGGTTATCCGCAGCATCGGCTTAAACCACTGAACTAATTTTGGTTGAAATTGGCATACAAATAGATTAGACCTTGGGGAAGAATAAACTATAAAAACTGTCTATAATAAATATTAAATGTGGCAAAAACTTACATAAATAACATCATCACATTTTCCTTTAAAAATTCATCTTTTACGCATAAAATCACGCCTTTCATCCCTGAAGAGGTAGGCAGAGGTGCACATTGCGGCACTCAATGCCACTGTACAATGTAACACCCACTTTTCACTATTTATGTTATGAGTCTCATGTAATAGTGGGTGAGCCTATTACCATATACTGGGCACATTTACAGACCTCGTGCTACTATTGAGATTTTTTTTCAAACTCTGTAATACTTTGCCCGGCGGTCGCACTTGCAACCAGTCGGCCAACGAGGCAGTCATGTATAACAATAAAGATTTAATTAACCACAATTTCCTGTACAGGGTAGCAGGAGCGTCAGGAACAATATTTACCAATGGGGAGCCTCGAGACCTCCACCAGTTCAGGAAGCTGTCCCGGTACATCATGCAAGAGGACTTACTGCAACCGTACATCACGGTACAGGAGGCCATGATGATTGCTGCTGATCTCAAGTTGGGAAACGGGATTACTAAGGAGAAGAAGCTGGTTATTGTATGTATTGTGCAATATTTTTTTAAACTTGTACGTAACGCATGAAAAATAGGCACGTCGTCGTTTATAGAATCACTAGCTACTACTCTGCTCAGCTCCTATTCGTCGTAGCATGATGTTTTATAGCCTATAGTCATCCTGGATAAATGCGCTATCCAACACAAAAAGAATTATTCAAATCAGACTTGGAGGTACGGAGATTAGCGCGTTCAAACAAACAAACAAAAAAACAAAGTCTTCCGCCGTATAAGAAGTATAAGATAAGATTTCAAACATTATAAGTAGAGAACAGTAAAAATGGTGATTAAAGATAATTTTATGTTTGTGTCTACATACATATTATTATACCATCACCATGGACGGCGCTGATTGCTTACCATCAGGTGCGTTTGCCTCCTTTTCTATAATGTAAACCGGAACTTCAAGTTTGGCAGGGGCCCTCTGAACCATACATTTTATATCGAGACGCGCTAATCAATTATTATATAATATTATAAAAAAAATAATAATAGCCGGAATGGTGACTACAGACGTTGTGTAAAAGATGACTCAAGGACATAGAAAATATTAGACAGATCGTATCCTTTTGATACGGAATCGGTAAACATTATTTTAAAAAACGTTTTTAGCACATATGAATAGGGTCCAAAATGTATGATAACTAACATGAGTATTTTATTAAACGAAGAAATATCTCATCACAAACAATCCCCTTTATTTATTTATTTAATACTTTATGTACAAATGTATATACAATGGCGGACTTAATGCCGGATGGCAGAGAAGTGTTACCGTAGGTTATAAATGAAGTTTGCATATATTGAAAAAAAAAAGGGTGATAAATGAACGTATACATAAAGGTATCCTAGTACATAAACTACACACCAATACTACATACTAATATGAAACATAAATATAATATGTTTACTTTACAGGCCGAAGAAATCATTCAACTGTTAAGGCTACAGAAAGCAAGGAATACAGCAACGGAGAGGCTATCAGGAGGTGAAAGGAAACGAATTTCAATAGCTCTAGAACTACTCAACAACCCACCGGTTATATTCTTGGATGAACCTACCACGTAAGTCACAAAATAATATTTTTTAACCTTGTCTGTCGATATATGAGACACAATATAAAGCACATTGTGTTTCGCGTAGTTCTGCGTTCCGATACTTCACAGGTTAAAGCGAACTTGTATCGGATTTCAAGTTTTTTAATATATAATAGCTAGAATGGTGACTACAGACGTTGTGTAAAAGATGACTCAAGGACATAGAAAATATTAGACAGATCGTATCGTATATATATACTATAGGACACAATTACATTATCCCTAACTTGATGACTTCATTGATTACAACTATGAGAATTTCAATAATAATTTGGATTTTACATTACCCAATACAAGAGACCTGAAAAGGCCACCCCCTATTGTATGGGATTCATTTCATAACTTATGAAAAAGTGGATGCTACATAAATGTGTAGTATAACAGGTGTGTTACACATATACATAGATATAATAAAAATGTACCTTACACACGTGTTCGTATTATTTTGCAACAGGATATCTAATTTCAATTGAATGTCGGGTCACATGTAATTCCGTTAATAACCACGTTTATTCATATTATTTTAGTCTTGGCATCAAAAACTACCATTTAATTTGAATACTGGACTACTTAAGTTTGATTCACCATTAAAAGAAGTTTTGTTTTGTTCCATCGTAAAAAAATATAATCTCTGATAACTCTGCTTGATAAAATATAAATAACTTTACTACTCCAACAGTTTTATCGTCTACAAATAAAATAAATAATGTTTTAAAGACGCCTGTTTAAACCATAGGCATTTAATAAACAGTTTTCATCATTAAATACAATGATTAACATTAGACTCGAACATGGACTTTAAACTTAAGAAGAAACTTCTAGAGAGACAACATGCTGTCGCGGCTCAGAACCGCGGAGGATTTCGCGACACCGACAGACGTGTCGATGGTCGTGGTGCTCTCTCTTGCCGCTCGCACCACGCACGCACGCCACTCCGTTGCGGAATGGTCGAGCGTCCTGAGTGACGTTACAACCACAGATAATAAAACAATAGACTAGGTTGTGTTTATTTTTAAATCCCGCGTTATAATATTCTTTGTTCATATTTTTCTCAATTTTAGGTTAATTTTGGGTTAGTAAACTTAAATACGAAATACATACTAAAGATATTAATCATTTTTTGTTGTTGTCGTATGGTTCATTTATCGAGGAAGGCCCTAAAACATTATAGCAATCAGAGCGAAGCTGCTGGTAAACCCATAGTTGAAGAGCTCATTTGCAATAACAACATATATTAATGTTTTTACAGGGGTCTAGATGACGTAGCATCTTCAACATGTGTGTCACTCCTGAAGCGGGTGGCTCGGGGAGGGAGGACCGTGGTCTGCTCCCTCCACACTCCATCAGCTCGTCTGTTCGCCGAGTTTGACCATGTGTACGTGGTGGCGGGTGGTCGCTGTGCCTACCAGGGCACTGCACCAGGCGTGGTGCCCTTCCTCAAAGAACTACAGCTGCCCTGCCCTAAGACTTACAATCCTGCTGATTTTAGTGAGTCATTATTAGAGTTTGAAGTTTTATTTTTGCATTCAATTTTCGATTGGGAATTTGTATAGAGTTATGTCAAAGTTACCTAATTTGAATGACTGAGAAATCGCAGAAATGGTATTTTAATAACCACCTTACCTTAGAGAGATTAATTAGTAAACTTGTTGACACTTAAATAGGTAATTTGGTAGGACAATAATGAATTAAATTTATTCGTATGTACATTGTCATGTTTCTTTCAACAATATAGCTATTAAGATATAATCATCTTATATCTTATACTATTGTCTTATACTATTATAAAAAGCGCAAGAGGTTGTTTTTTTATTTGTTTGTTTGAACGCGCTAATCTCCGTAACTACACGTTTGATTTGAATAATTATTTTTGTGTTGGATAGTGCATTTATCGAGGATAGCTATAGGTTATAAAACATCACTTTATAACTAATAAGAGCTCAGCAGAGCGTGTGAAACCGTGCGGAAGTAGCTAGTATTTCATATATGTACATAGTTGCATATTTATGTGTACCTTTACCTACTCCTTCAGTTAACAAAAGGCAAGTTTTCCTCTAATTACAGTGAATTACGAAGAGGTCACAATATGTGGAAATAAAAGAATTGACCAATTACATACTCATTACATATGTGAGTGTCATGATGATACGACAATTTGCATGTGGCAACACTGTTAGACGTCATATAGCGAAACAATGTTGCCATAATTATTAACGGCTTATTTGTTTTAAATGTGTTAGTAGTTAATGTACTTAACTCGTCGAGTACCGGTTTTGTAGACACAATTATAGAACAATAGGTTGCGGTCACCGGTGACCGCTTGGTGTTTGACAGTTTAATGTATTCATGTTAAACAAACGTACCTAATTATTTTTGAATTACGTGTTTTATGTATTATTAATGGTACATCATTTAATCGGCATACAATTATAATAATTAAAAGAAGCCCAGAAAATCTTTATCCATAAATTTTTATTTTTATCCGTATCTTGATCATAAATAACATTTCACAAAACGTCATGAATTTAATTAAATCCACGAAGTAGTATACAGAGGTGTAATGTTTATTATTTACTAGTTTTGCTATAAATTTCGTATAAAACCAGCTAAGACCGGGCAAAAATACAGATTCTGCGATTGAGGTTTTTTTTTGAAAACTGAAAATACCTGTGTATTAACTTTTAACTTAACGATTTCCAACATCTTTGTTCGTCAGTCATACTCACGACCTAGATCAACTCAAATCAGTTGATTCTCATAATAATAATTCTAATTTAACCAAAATATTTCCAGTAATCGAAGTCTCAAGTGGCGAATATGGATCTCACGTTGACAAAATGGTATCAGCTGTGGAAAATGGGAAGAACCAGCGTTGGAGGACTTACGCTATCGAGGAGACTCCAGGGGAGCAATTTGAGGAGATGGAGATTGAACAGTTGAACACTGGAGGTGTTGAGAAGCATAACTATAAGCATGGATGTTCAGCTTGCCAGCAGTTCATTGTTTTACTAAAGAGGATGTTGTTACAGACGGTTAGGAATAAGGTAATTACATAGTCATATTTTATTAATTTAGTTTAAATGGATCACCACCAGTCCTTGTCACTCTACTACTGCTCTTTCAACGGGTGTTTTCAATACCAGACTACTAAATGCCTAAATAGTCAACAGATACTTCGATGCGAGCTCCAACCCGAAGGGGATGTCAGGAATGGTCTGTCATGGCCTGTTGGGGTCCCCAACAGCCCAACATCCCCATCATCCCCAATTTCGTGATGATCAACATGTACTCACTTTTAAAAAAAAATCTATTTTATTTCTCTGTTCCATTCCAAAAATATTTTGTTTACATTTTCTTTATATTTATTAATTAACAAAGTATGAGTATGGCCTAACGGGATACTGGGGCTTCAGCTCGAATCAGAACTAGGACTGAGGTGGTTTTTATTCAATAAGAGTCTGACACTCCCTATTATCGCCTCATCTTAGACGCGAGAAGTCATTGGATGATTCCTCCCCCCTCTAACAAACTAGGAACTTATTTTTTTTGTAAATGTGACTATAAAAACCATTAGGAATACTTTAACATAAATTAATAACTTATATCTACCATCTAAATAAAATACACATGTTTATATACGAAATATATCGATGATATCTTTATAACATTATCATAAATTAAATCGATACATGCGACTATCGAGCCTATTTTTACAATAATGCCTTAATGTGTAAATATAATTTGAGTTTTTATATTATTATTATCTGCCTCATTTTAAATTTTTTTATTACATTGTCAAGGCTGTACATATTTCTAACATATGCTAACTTATACATAATATAGTTTGCTGTTATAATATACCCGTGCTTAGAGTCTCAAAAGAGTTCATACGCCATTTACAAATACTGGTCTTTATACTTTTATGTAGCATTTGTTCAATTGACCCTTAGGGCTGCTGATAGGCACTTCTTCTTATAGTCACTGCTTTCTTAGTTATAACTTAAAAAAAAAAAACAAAAAATCGTTAATTACAAAACTACGTAAGTCTCTAAAGTTAGGCGGAACCACGGCGGTTTTTATCCGCACAATTTTATGAAAACCGAAAACAAGACAGCGCACTTACGGCTTTTCCCGCGACTGCTTTTTTTTTCTATGGCATAAGCCGGTAAACAAGCAGACGGATCACCTGATGGTAAACAATCGGCGCCGCCCATGGATACCTGAAACACCTGGGGCGTTACAAGTGCGTTACCGGCCTTTTGGGGATTAGGAGTTTGAGGATCGGTGAGGATTCAGGAATTGGGTGAGATTGGGGAAGAGGAGGGTATTTGGGCCTCTGGTAATCTTACTCACACGACGGAACACAACGCAAGCGTTGCTTCACGTCGGTTTTCTGTTAGGCCGTGGTATCACTCCGGTCGAGCCGGCCCATTCGTGCCGAAGCATGGCTCTCCCACACTTAAATTTATTATTACAATAAGCTATTGTAACTTTAAAAATCGCTAGGGTTACACTGTAATACATGTCGAATTAATGAATAGACGTCTTGCCTTTGAAATTTGGTACATTTGATATGCTACATTTCCTAATTAACTTGAATCAGTACATGGAACTTACTCTCTTTATTCTTATTTATTATATTGCACTATATTAAATCAAAATATTTCTTTATTCCAGAGCTACCTATGGCTACGTGTCGGCTTACATTTGTTCATAGGATTCATTGTAGCCAGTTTGTTCAACAAGATGGGTTACGACGCTTCGAAGACTATCTTCAACTTCGGTTTCTGCTATGCCTGTACTATTGCCATGCTGTATATTCCTATGATGCCGGTTTTACTTGCCTGTAAGTACTTTTGTATCTTTTTATAAATACAAACGAATGAAGACTGTTGAGGAAGCGAAAGAGGTCTGTAAAAATCGTAGACAATAACCCTATTGCCTGAATTTTATTTTAATGTCCGTGTGGTATATTAATTTAAAATATTAGACACTTATTTTTCTTTTCTCACAAAATTAAATACTTTCGACGATATATTGATTTGAAATGTCGTATGACGTCACAGCGTGTCACATTTTGTAGCACGTTATGACGTAACGACCTCCCACTCCTAAACTTAGCACCATTTTATCTAAGTATTGCAACTTAATACGAGAAAAATAAAAAAATACGAGCCTAATATTTTTTCATTATCTAATTGACGGACTAATTAGATTTAAAATTTTGATACCCTTGAAACTACCCAATTGCGACGATTTTTTATATACCTCTTTCCATAGTCCATAGTCCACAGAAATATTATTTAATATATCTATGACATAGTCCGTAGTTCCATTGTCTCTGCCTACTTTCATGGGAGACAGGCGTGAGGTTAGTATGTATGTATGTTCGTACAAACGAATGGTCGCAAACTCGCAACTAATATAATGTAGAAGGTTACAAAAAATATATGTCGGTTATTTCCATGAAGGCATGCAATAAAATATTTTTGATTTATTTAATGTTTGCGGAATTTTGTGTGTCTTTGACCTAGAATATAATATTTGTTTAATTATTCTGAGGAAGTATGCACTGAAAAATGTTTTTGAAAAATAATTTATTTTAATGTTAACATTATGTTCCATTTTACTTCATTAAAATTAATATTTTTCCATAACTATGCGACTGTTGCTTAGCGTATTTATATAGGTAATAGACGACGATGGCAAGAGACTCGAGGGTATGTCATTATTCCCTTGGAAGATGGGTAGGCCTTTAGTATGGGACGCCACTTGCGTTGATACTCTGGCGCCATCCCATCTTCCAAGCTCAGCGTGTCGAGCCGGTGCTGCCGCTGGTGCTGCCGAGATCCTAAAACGACGAAAGCATAATAGCCAGATTGGCAATTATGCTTTCGAACCATTTGGGGTTGAAACTTTAGGGCTGTGGGGCCCAAGTGCACATCTTCTTTACAATGGTATTGTAAGGAGGATGGTTGATCGTTGATCGCTTCAGGTGATCGAAGGGCTGGCTACTACCTTGGAAAAAGGTTAAGCATTGCCATTCAACGTGGTAATGCTGCCAGTCTTTTGGGCACCCTACCTCACACTAGCAATGAGGAAAATTTTTTCTTTGATGCCTTATGATTATGACACATTTTTATTATTTTTTTAATGTGTATATATTTTAGTTTTAAATTTACTTATATTTTAAGTTATATTTATTTAATTTAAATTCTAATCTAAGGTAATAATGGTAATTAATTTAATTATGGTTCCGAGGTCAGCACCTAATTTTATCCATATTTTTATATTTAAGTATCTACTATTAAGAATGTAAATTTAGAGGATATTTAAATAAATATACGGAATATAATAAAATAATTTTATACATTGTTATTTTCCTAAACAATGTTTAACCTTAACTTAATGGATTTTGAAAAGTCATACAACAAAATGTTTTTCTTTACGACGTTACATTAAAAACCTACATGCTCCTATCTTACCTTTAAAATTAACATTACTTTTTTCTTCATTACAGTTCCAACAGAAGTCCAGCTGGTTAAAAGAGAGTATTTCAACCGCTGGTATGGTTTGAAGCCCTACTATGCTGCGCTGGTGATGTCAAGGACTCCTGCAACAATATTCTTTAGTCTTTTATATGTGGTCATTGCTTACCCTATCACATCACAACCCATGGAGCTGGATAGGATAGTCATGTTTGCCTCTACGTGTATCCTTATAGCTCTTATATCAGAGTCTATGGGAACTGTTATTTCATCAATGTTGAATGTTGTGGTGAGTACAGAATTAAATGAGTTGTTTTGTCACTAATTACCACTGGTCTAGGAGATTTTGTTAGATGTCAATTCGAACTCTCGAAGTCTCGAAGTGAGCTCGATCGCGGTCTGCCATGTCATTGGTTGTTAAAATAATCTCGACCAATGATAGGCGAGAATGCGATCGAGGTCATTTCGAGAGGTCGAATTGACATCTTACAGAATAGCCTGGCTGCTGCCAGGCCTGCTTCCGCCTCACCGAGGCGGGAGCAGTCATTCGATGATTTTCCCCCCTTAAAAAAAAAGCATGCTGGATCAAAAAATCAGTTGATTAAATCTGATTCCAATTTATGTTCACAGAACTCGGTATTCATGGGTCCAGCTATGAGCGTGCCATTGATGCTGCTAGCTGTTTATGGCATAGGCAGTGGAGATGATCCTTTGCCAATCGTATGGAGATTGGCAAGAGCATGTTCCTTCCTCCGTTATGGTATTGAAGGCCTAGTAGCAGCAATATACGGGCCTCCCAGAGATGATCTCATTTGCCCAGACCATGTAGACTATTGTGAATATAAGAATGTTGCGTGAGTATTGAAAAAACTTCCGTTATTCTTGAATTTGCTCATAATTGTCCTAGCCATAAATAACCAAATTTTCGTTACCTCCTAGATACACCTCTATTAGAAATATTTTTTTGTTTTATAATTGAATTGGCTAAAATGGTTTTGAGTCTAACTTTGCTAGTACGTACTTTTGACACTTACGAACATCATGATTATTAATTATTCTTTTTGCGAATTTTATGGAAATCCTAGTCACCTTACATACCTAGAAATATCTCGAATTCCTAGTCATAAAATAACGAAGCTCAGGCCATATACATGCAACCCTAGTTAAAAAAAAATTGATTCAATAGTCAGAATAACTGGACTGGAATGGGCCTACATGTAAAATGTTCGAACCTTCCTTTCTATCTATACCTACTTTACTGTTATCTACTATTTCGCGCATACTTATTTTCTATACCTACTAAAATAACCATTTATTCTTTTCAGTTACTTCGTAAAATTGATGGGGATGTCTGGCGTATCATTCTGGGTGGATTTCAGCGTTTTAGTCTGTATCTTACTCGCCATGAATCTCACTGGATATTATCTCCTACGGCAACGGTTGTCGCCTAACTACGCTTTCAGAGCCATCAAGGTGATAGGCAACTTCATCAAGACTAAGATGAGCTCCTACTCATGATTTGAAACACTATCATCATCTTTAGGTGTTTAACAAAATGATTGTGTACATACTAAGATTAGATTGTGGAATATATACTTAAAGCACTATTTATGGAATGTTTATACCATTATTTTATTCATTTGAAGTTTTCGTTTTATAATAGCGAATGTGTCATTTATAATTGGGGTGTTTCAAAATTGAAGTTTCCAAAATGTTTGTTTTTTTTTATTTAATCAATTGATTATAATTAGTTTTGTTTAAGATTTTTTTATGTTTCTACATAATTATAAAGGATAATATCAAACCACTGTGATAGCATGTAAAGTTTTGAAGTGGTTCCTATATACAATAGGTTTAGTCGAATGGACGGGAATATTTCCTTTTAATTTGTTATGCTATTTATTATCGGTTATGGGGCATAAATTATAAAAACTTAGTCCAAAATTGATTGTCGGTGTCACAGATGCGCGGTGAGATCATATCAAGGCTTTATAAAGGCCTTCAACTCTACATACGATTACTATTTATCTGTTAACGTGCTTCCTGTGTTACTCGGGTCTCCACGCTTGGTGTGGTGGCTGGGCAACCGGCTGCCGCGCAATGTGTCGCGGGTTCGATTCCCGCACGGAGTAACTCTTTGTGTGATACACAAATTGTTGTTTCAGGTCTGGGTGTCATGGTGTATGTGCACTTGCATGTTTGTAATCGCACCCACGACACAGGAGAAAATCGTTATGTGGGGCAATGCTATTAAAAAAGAAAAAGATTTATGCTTAGGTATATAAACCAAAGGAAATGAAAACATTCCCAGTGAGAATGCTTTTTAATATTCATGATATTTTAATGACAATGTGGATTGAATAGGATTACATAACATTTTTGTAGTAAATTTTCTACTTAAATATGTAAATAAGTTATAATGTTAATGTGGTATTCAAGGATGAGGATATATTTTAAGACTGATCGCACGGCGCCATTTTTATTGTATACAAATTCAACTTATTTATAATTTTGCTCTTTTTTATATTTAAGTATAAAGACAATATGTAATATCTCTCTCTCTGTCTTTCTTAATAATTAATTCGTTTTTTAAGAAAGTCTAGTGTATCGTGCCAACTCATTAATGATTCAAAATTATTTTACAATTTCCGTCTTTTCATGTAAATAGTATTAAATATCGAGTTGAATTGATATACAATATCAATTTTTACTTGAAACGAGTCTAGACTTATTTCAAATTTAATTAAATATTTTAAGTATTTCTTCTAAAACATCACAATAATATCTATTGATAATGATTTATTTCAAACCTTGAATTGTATTATTTTAAGAACTTGTTTTCATTGAGGAGGATTTCATTGAAAATAACCCAGATATTTGTTTTACCTTGTAACATATTGTATGTAGGTACATACAATATGGTCTGTCTTTTAGTTTGAGATTTTCGATAACTCATTTCTCGCTTCTCATGTATGAGGGCGCGGCTTCGAAACCTATCAAGCCAAGTACCAATGTGACTATTTTAGAGTTACATGTACTTTCTAAGATTGTTTAGACACCACTGACAAACGGTGAAGGAAAACATCGTGAGGAAACCTGGGCTTATAATTTGTAATTATAAGTTCGAAATCGGCAGCCTGCATTGAGCAAGTGTGGTGATTATTGCTCAATCCTTCTCAGTGTGCGAACAGGCCTTTGGTCAGCAATGGACACTTATAGGCTGTTGATGTGTTAATGTGATGGGATGAGTAAAAGTGTACATTATTCCGATAACATGTTAATACTAATAAATATGTAATTTATCAGTATGTATATACATCAGTAGTAGCACGGAGTCTGGAAATGTGTATATGGCAATAAGCTCTCCCCCTATTATATGGAATCCATAACATAAATAGTGAAAAGTGGGTGTTACATTGTACAGTGGTAATAAATGCCGTAATGTGCACCTCTGCCTACCCTTTCGGGGACATAAAGGCGTGATGTTATGGTATGTTATGTTACTTTACAAACATGTATAATTTCTTTTATAAAATACACCGTTGGGTAAATTATTTTCCATAATTAATAGGTTTCGGTTTAATAAATGTAAACCATAATGAAGATGTCAAAATAAAACAAATATCTTTCATCAAACGTAGTTTTATTTACCAAATGAATTTCTCACTAAAATAAAATCACGCATCCTCTTTAGTTCAAAGTGAACAATAAGTCGTTTCAACAAAATCTGACTAGGGCAGTCATTTTGCCACTTAACACAAAAAAAAAATAATAAAATTTCAATAAAGTTTACAACTTTTATTATTATTTATTATCTACTTATTGTGCTCTATCTAGGTGGTGCTATAGTGCACGTAATGTAGATTATTTTATTAATATACACTTGGGAGCAAATATTTTCTGATACACGTATTACATTAATTGGTAACGCGTGTCGTATAAAACGTTATATATAATATATGTCGTATAAACTTTTATACGACATACGTTATCAATTAATATTTACATTTTAGTTAATTTTTTTGAATTTATTTATCAAAATGGGTATACCAACTGCTTCTGTTAAACATAGTATTAAGAAATAACAAAGGTAACAATAAGTATTGGGCTTATACAGTCGCCAATTATAGGTTAACCAAATTTACAATTAAGTGATAATAAAACTACAAATGTACAAGGAAAATAAAATTTTAGTAAACTGAAAAAAAAAGAAACTACTATTCACGAAATCAACATTCTTATGTTACAGGAACTTAAATTTAGTTACCTTTAAAATGAGAGTATTTGGTTTTAAAGGAGTATTTTTTTTTAAGTTATAGTGGGTTCAACAATGAAAAAAATGCTAGTGGTTCGGTTTTATTGCTCCCAAGTGTATATTAGTGTATTGAAGTCATATTTTTGTCATAAGTACAAAGTATGCTATTCATATATATTATTAATTTATTTACATAAATCGTGTTGGAATTATATTAAAATTACTTAGGAATGTTCGTATTCATAATAGACGCATTTGTTAACGTGCAAATATCGAATAGTTAGTTTTCTACATTATCGAATATAGTTAGTGAAAGCTGCCCATTATTACTAAAATTATTATTTTTTTCCCAATTTTCCTATAACTTTATCATGACCTATGAAAATACTTTTTCAGTTCCACTCGTTCGATATGGGCAATGGTTTTTTTACCAAGTGTTAGTATTAACAAAAGTAATCAAAATATATCACTTAAGATAAATAGTAATCATAGTTTCCACAGACAAACATAATTAAAATCGGATTATATATATTTTTTTTTTAACAGAATTCTATAAATTGTTGGTAACTAATTCTTTTTAGAATATAATCTACAAACTGTTTTGTCTACACGATATTGTGATTCGTTCATAATATTAGATATTTGTCCTATGGTATTGTCTTTTTCTACAAAATTCGTTCATGTTCAATTTTTGATTAATATTGAGCACACATTGTACGATTCGTAATAATTGAATGTCTACCTTGAAAGTGTATTTTTACCATGGCAGTTTTTGTGATGTCTTGATGGAAAACGCATTCAAACGTTGATTTAGTTCATTCAAATTCATTCACTCATCCATTCACCTGAAGTTAGTCTCACACCAACATTAAAATTTCAATTACTAATTTTACAAAAGGAAAAGATAGAAAAAGTACAAAACGACGAACATATTTACAATAAATTAATACTTTTTTTGACAAATTAAAATAACAATTGTAAATAAAAATATTTAACTTAATATAACGAGTATTAAACGATTAACATATTCTATACATAGATACGAGATTTTAGGTAAAGAATTTAGGCCTTAACTTTTATTTCAGAGTAGCTGATTCGACTGACCTGTGCCTTTAGCCAAATGCCACTTAAGCGAGTCTACAGAAGGAGTAGAAAACTAAATGTATGGGGATGACACTGACAAGTGTCAAAATTTACGTTAATCCCATATAATTTTTATAATTTGGTTTTCTATTCTACACGTAGACAAGCGCTAAGTGGTATTTGGCTACAGCTGCTGATTTTCAATAGAACCTTTCTGGAACTTTGAAAAATACTTGAGAAAGTTTCGAATCAGCTGTTTTCGAGATTTGCTGTTACCAGCAGACTTTTTCAAGAGCGCGGTTCATCAAAGGAACGTCTTTTCATAACTGTCTTTTTATGTAATCATGTTCTTTGAGCATCTTAAATAAAATTAATAAACTTACATTAAATACTAATATTAACTAATATTGTGATCGTAGCTTGTACTGTAAGGCGAGAACATACTAATTTATCGTTCTTAATTTAAAATATTTTTGTATACCTATCAGATAGATGCCAGCACTTGAACCTACTCTGAACTGTTAAAATTATTTAATGTACAAATTGTTATAGAATATTTAGATTAAATTATAATGGGCCTCCCATATTTGAATCAAACTGTGAAGAGTTTTTTAATGCTATATACTAATTTTAGTTACTACAAAGAGCTCAATGAAATTTGCAATTGTGATATTATAAAGACAATCGACATAGTCCAAAGGATCAGTAAGCTGAAGTGGCAGTGGACTGGTCACATTTGTTGAAGAACCGATAACCGCTGGGGTAAACGTGTTCTAGAGTGGAGACCGCGTCTAGGCAAGCGTAGTGTAGGGCGCCCTCCAGCTAGGTGGAGGGACGACATCCGCAAGGTGGCTGGCAGTGGTTGGATGAGAAGAGCTGAAGACCGAGCTCAGTGACGTGCCATTGGAGAGGCCTATGTCCAGCAGTAAACGAATACTGGCTGATGATGATAATGAAAGATAATCGTAAAATAATATTAAAATTAACCCATGAAGGTACCACCTGTGGTTTTCAGTCAATTGAGTAGGTTAAGTTGCTGGTACACGAAGTTGAATGATAATGAAAATATTAATTTTACTAAAGAATTAGAAAAAAAAGATATTAATCCCTCCAGATTTAAACTACATAAAAATTTAAAATCCCAATGTGAAATATTCTCCCACTAAACATAATTATTTCGAGGACCTGCCAGTTAAATAAAATACCGTTAAAAATTTAATTGAGCAGTAAAATATTGTTCTTAGAAACCCAAGAAAATCTACATAAACTAAGAAAGCTACAGAGACTCATTTTGTATCATTCTTGATTACTATTCTATATAATAAGAGGTGTAAAATCCCACACCATTTCTTCATTTTGTATTCCCTAAATATTCTTTACAAATACATCCACATTCCACATTCCCGGCACTTATAGTGAACTAACTATAATAATGGTAACTACATTATACTAAGGTTTTAGTTATAATATAAACTATACATAATAACCATTAAATTATACTATAAAACTAATAAATAAAATGTGATGTTAATAAAATTGAAAACATAATAATACAAAAAAAAAAACTGTGACATAATAAAATGGAATGTTAAAAATTGTGATTCTTAAAATAATATTTACAAAATGGTAAATTAATTTGGCACCTTACTACGTGAGAGGAAGATAATGGTGCCCTAAAACTAGGGGTACTGTCGTACCGAAGCTAATGTGGTGTAAAGCGAAGTATTACAAGTCTTATTTGTGACTATATCCCTGATAATGTTTAGATCACTATCCCTTTCATTACTCCCTCTATT